TAATGCTTGGATAACAATTTTATTTAATTTATACTAACAAATGTTATGTATATATGTTAATTATAGCGATGCATATGACATCCTAATTAAAAATGAAATTTGCATTGGCTACTGTTGTTCAGATGTAAAAACATATTTGTTTGCAAACAAAAACAATTAATTAAGTACGTCAATCCTTTTCCAGAGCAGATATTTCAAATGATCGATTTTAATTGGGTTAAGGTATAGGGTATTTAATTTGATAGGTTGTATAGGATATCTAAGATAAATTACATTACGGGTATATGTTACAACCATCGATCTCTATTACTACAACAGGGAAATGCGTTTTTTTATTAAGCTAATAAATTATTTGAATGCAGTGATGTATTTTGGATATCTGGTTTCCTTTTTAGTTTTATTCATAATGACTTCTGGGAGTGAGGTATACCACCAAAATTCAGGTTTCCTGACTTTTATATATGTGATCAGATACATTCAAACTCTTTGAGATGCATAGTAAAAGATTAACCATTTCTGTTAACATGCAAAGGGTGTTTTAAAAGACTCGATTTCAATTTGAAGCTCACTAGCAAAAGTGTATATACACCAAATAAAAATAAAATATAGGAATTATTTACAAATTGCATTTTCTTAGTATGTCTAAAAATTTAAAGGTCTTTAACTTTATACTTCATAAGACAACACACACCTTTGCTATAAAATAAGGATGGTTTTTTAAGAACTATGTAAAATTTAACCTATATCGATGACACACGTTTCATATAATCTGGTTGTTATACACTATAACGTTAAAATCCATATTTGAAAAAAAATATTTTCGAAAAAGTATTTTATAATTTTTACTACTTTACTTTAGTTATTGACATTAATTTGGCAAACAATCACATAACAGATGTATCTATCCTCAAGATAATACGGTATAGGTTCACTTAAATTATCTATTAGGGAAATTTGCTTATGAAATTAAAAATGGACAAGTGTTTATTCTATAGAATATTTGACTATAAACCCTTCCCCTCATAAAAATGAAGTAATTTTCTATCAAACTCTATCAAAATTTCTCCCTAAATTTTACACTCTATAAAAATTCTCTTTACTAAAACATAGAAGCAAAATACATCTTTTAAACCCCTACACAAAAACAATAGTTATGAAATCTACCTACACTGACACTTTAATTAGTCCCAGCTATTTTCGTACGGGTCAAAAGGGCACGGGCTATGCATGACGCATGATGAAGACGGGTGTCACCAGGGTGGTTACAGAGGGGGAGAACTGTCACATAGCTGAGGTTAGGACCACCACTAGGGCTCGTCAAGGGTGGGGTGTCAAGTGTTTATGCACGTCTATGCACTGTCACTACTAGGTAAGAGACGGCGCGCACAGGTACACCGCACACCGGCGACTGGACGGGTTGTGCTGTACAGGGAGTGGAGCAGCGCTCCTAGCGGGGGGTGTCGCAACTAGCCAAACTGCCTCCTACCACACTGTATCGCTGTTGGGGGGCCGCTATTGCTTTTTATTGATTTCAAATTACATAATAAACTGCCATTGCGATTGAGGTGCGTTATCATTTAGGCTGTGTGGTTGATCAACACTTTTCATGGTTATTTTTACCGGACGTTCTTTTTTAATTTTAAATGTGGTTACATCATTTATAAGTAGTAAATAAATGTATGTTTCTCAAATGTAATTGTATATAAATAATAGGTAAGGGACTTGAGCTTATTTTTTTAACTGAAAAGCAGAGTATTTATTCATAATTAAAAGGACTTTAAATGAAATATGCACATTTAAAATTTATATGGATGGATTATTATTCGCAAACTGAAGGCTATATTTTCGATATCGATGAATAATTTCATATTGTTGATGCTGCAAAAAATTTATTATAGTAATATAAACGATATGGGTGACAACATTTTTATTGGATTATGAATTTAACTTTTAATGTTGTTAGAAAAACCATGTTTGCATTTTTTATTTATCGTGTCATCATACTGTAAAATAGAGGAATTATTTGTGTCAACTTATGTCAAGCTACCTTTTAATCCAGTCATTGTCAAAAAAAGAAAAAACTATCAAACGGAATTGGGAACAACCCGATAAAATAAAAACTCATCTTTAAAACTCTTTACTGAAAGCTAAGTAAATAATCTAATAAATTCTTCTCTTAAATCAATATTAGACTAGATCTCGTCGCAGAGAGAGAAACTTTTCGAACTGTTTTAAAGTTTTATCAGATTTCTTCAAGACAGTTTCCGTTTCCCAAGTTCGGACGTCTTCTCTCGAGAAGGTTTCTTAAGAAACACGACTCAGCTATACAATGTATACAATGAATTCTTATGTGCAACAGGAATAGTGAAACTATTTGAACATTTATCTGTATCAAAGGTTTGAATCATTTTTCAATTGGCTTTTTTAATGACTGAAAAAGCAACTGATTATTGTATTTTGATGGGATATTTCAAATAGAAGGTTAGTGTTGCTATAGTAAACGTGGATTACTCATATAAACGTATAAAAAAAAACAATTATGGTAAAACGTTAAAATATTTCAAATAACTAGTAAGCAGTTTGTAAAATAAGGTAGCCTATTTACTATGGTCATATTCTAACCTCAAAAATGTATTTTTGACTTAAATTGTATAAGTCTAAGACTTACCTACTAAATCTAAACATAAACTTTAAAGGACTTGCTTGCACTCAAATCTGAGTCTTTTATGATTTCCTTTTCTGTTGTTCATATTTTCCGTCTGTTTAAAAAACTTAGTGTTTCGTTAATTTACATGAAAGCTATAAAGCCGTGAAGTCGCCACAGGCTAAATGACCTTTTGCATTTTCTCTGTCTAATAACAGTTATTAAGCTTAGAGCTTAATAGAATGAATTCATTCATACAGGGTGACCAATAGGGTCGAATTTTTGAAAAGAATGATAGAAATACATAAGTTAACAATACAATATTGGGGCGGTTTATCCACTATGAGGCTATAAACAACGATACAGTCCTTGTAAGGTGCTGGGTAGTGGAGTCACGTATAAGGTCAATGTTTGACTTCTTATCTTTTGTCTTCAAAACTACAACTGTTCTGCTGCTTTCAGTTTACTTTATAATTCAATTAAAGTAATCTTATAACTAACTATACACAATTGTTACTTTTATATTAGTTTGTTTTGTGCATAGCTTGTGTAAAATAGATTTTTAAGTGAATTAAGAATGTGTGTGGCGTTTACATTTTGGGAATTGAAATTGAAACCATAGCCTTATTTAAATCTGAACTAAAAGCACACCCTAAAATGCATTTATGTGTTTAAATTCTTACACCTGTAACGTCATAAATTTACTACGTATTTTTATTCAATAATATACGATCATTCATGAGTTTAAATACTATTTTTATCTGCACGTTAAGGGGAAAATACATAATCGTCTCAAATTTTCCAGCCTATATACAGTAGTGTTTTGACTTGATGACATTTGAAATTCAAAACTTAAAAAGATGTCACTATCTGAAAAAGGACGACATTTCGAAATTAGACACTTTTAATGTCAATCCTAAAATGTTAGACCATTACAAAAAATAACACCCAAAAATTGTTTTCCAAATGAATTTGTTTCTTTCAGAAATACTTAACATGACTAAAAATGTTCAAGATCAATTTTTGTAACCAACCGAGTTATATTCGTTATCACTATTGATGAGGTCATTATGTGAAGACGTCACCACTTGTCAACCTTGTTAACCTCTTATTGGCTAAGGACATCTGTTTCTTTAGTCAACCAGTTATTGAGAGCCCAGTGACAAAAATTTAATAACAAGCCCAGTTTGGAACCATTCAGAAATGATCTAGCTTTTCTCAGGACCTAATATCAACATTTGTTATAGCGTTCCGTGAGAAACCCAACGACTAATATATATATATATATACAAGCTATAAAAGATTAGGACATAATATTATACAAAAGTTGGGGAAGGTTTTATTTATTTCCTACTACTAATGTTCTGCTTTCTTTCCTATAAATGCATGTAAAGATAAGTTTCAACAAAACAAGAGTGCAGTAGGTTATTGCATTTAAAAAGAAAAATTGTTTTAACAAAGCTGTTATAATAAACACTATATGATAAGAATGTTTATACCAAATTATATTTACCTATCACCTAACATAAAATGTATGATCTCAAAATAGTTCTATTGAATAACAAGTTATAATATCTTAGAATTTAACTAATTTAATTTATTTTCATACGGTAAAATTTCAATAAAAAACTCATATTTTTATGAATTGTTGCTAGTTTATAGTTATGGATGAGTGAAAATGTCTTAAATGGCAAAACGTGTAGCAATTCATACGTTATAACAATACATACTATACGGCCTTACCTTTATTGTATATCAATGATTAAATCTGTGTTTTCGATATAAAACAACTTTAAACAACAAAACCCTTAATAATAAAATATTATACTTTAGTGTTCTACCTATACCACAAAACAAGTAATTTATATTCTACTACTTAAAAATTATATGTATTTTTTCATTTACACCGTAAAGAGAAAAAATATAGCACTTTGCTATTTTAAAGTAAAACAAAGGAACAAATAAATTAAATATATAAAAAACCTTTAAATGACTATTTCATAAAGTAGTTCATTCTAATAACAGAGTTCGATTCCAACCCACGGGCATTCCAATGGCATGGCGGGCCCATTAGACAAATTGCTCTCCATTCAGCCTCTGTACAGTAGTTAGGCATTTAGCGAAATCATTCAAGACATTTCAAATGTTAATGTCGTAGTTGGACATTTTTAACCTAAATTTACCTAACTTGATTTAGATAATATTTCGTTTTGTAACATTTTGAAGACTGTTGTAGAAATGATTTTTTTCTATAATATACATTTTCTCTATGATATTTTTCATGTAAGACATTTGACGAATTGTAAGATAGGCAATGTATTTTTAGTCGCGTTACCACGGTTATAGTTTCGCGTCTTCAGGTTCCAGAAAGTGTGCAATTATCATGTTTAAATTCAGAGTAAACTTTTGAAAGAGGTTAATTATAAACACGTTGAAAATGGAGGGCAAAAAGAAATTTACCTGCCACTTAGAGGTAATCAATAAATTATAAAGCATAATACTCTTGAATTAGCTAGACGTCCCGTAATTGCCAATTAACGCATTACTTGGTCAATGGAGGTTAAATAGGATTTATATTTCGTAAAGATTTTCCTGTTTCTATGTCATTTAAATATTTTATGATATTTGTTAGCTTTATTCATGACAAAAATGTTTTAGCTTCTGTTGCTTGGAAACATAGAAAGTACAAAAAAGCAGGTGTTTAGTCCGGTGGTGTTTTATGACTATAGTCTAAGTGGTGTGATAAGGTCATAGAGCAGACGTCAAGGTCAAAAATGTCACAATAATAATTGGGTACAGAGTTATAATATTTTGTAACCACCCGGTTCATTAATTGGTTAATCTGCTTTATATAATGCTATGTCCAGTAATCATCCTGATAATAGGTCTTCAAACAGTATATGTAGTATACATTGATAATCTAAATAAGACTACAACTTAAATATTTTTATTTACTGCACTTCTCATGTATTGAGCTAAGCACTTCTATGCAGCTGTGTGGTCTGAGAATTTGTCTAACAATAAAATACATCACCAGTTTGATATTAAGAAAGTTCATTTAACCTTTATCCGTCTTTGATAACCAGGCTTTTAATAAAGATCCTGGCTAAATGTATAACTGACCACTCTAGTAACTAAGCTACACAGAACATATTACTCCACTCACACTGTGTTCATGTTTAGCTTAAAATTCAAACGTGGGAGGCATTGCAGCCTAGATTAACAGTGATTATTCATTATGTTCCTTTCCTAACCAACCAAAGCATAATTAAAATTAAATAAAAAAGCATTGTTTTATATAGCTTTTAACACCATAACTGTAAGAAAAAATAAGAGACAATTGGCTACGTTTTTTATGTTTGCATGCTTGCGTTGCTAAGTTGAACTAGTCAGGCCAATGTCTACTTTACAAATGCTAGGTACTGCCTAATCTAACTTTGAATATTTCAGGTCGAAGAGGGTCAATATCCAGAGTATTGTGTGCAAGATGTATGCTGTGGAGTTTACAAACAAAAAGTAGGAATTTTCAGTCTTTTGATGTAAAGTATTAACGACAATCGCTAACCACTATCACAGCAACAATTCTCTGGTTTAATTTCTGTTCGGGACTTTGGCATTGCAAGATTACAGAGAGTTCCCGATTGCTGAGTGAACTCAAAGATTTTATTTTCTATAAAAACAGAAACACCATGAAATAGAGCTAGGCAGCAATTATCAATTCGCTCTACCTTAGCCAATTGCCAGCAAAATAAGTCAAATGCGCCTGGGAGGCATAATAGGTGTAAATAATCCTAGCCTATGATTACATGCTTCTGATAATCGCATGTTGGATTAGCAATGTATTACTTATTAAACTCGGAACACCATGTAGGCCTATCATTTTCTCTCTATCAAATCATGAACTTCAACAGCTTTAAACGCAAAAAGATCATGTGATACTATTGTAATTTAGTAATCCATCAACATACTATCACGTCATATTACGAAATAGTCTTTCTCATCATATATAACTATTGTGAGTTTTAACTGTACGCAGTATTCAATAATTGAAAAGTATTGTTTATTTTGTCCAGTAAAACATTTTCTTTTACAGAGCTGGTTCTCAACCGTCGTTTGTCTACTTTTAGTATCACTGATAATCGTTGTACTAACTTGTTACCTGATATACTTATGGATAACCTATGTGGAAGGAGATAAAAACAATACTCAAACCCGGTCCGAGCAACGACGTCAACCTTTGCAGGACGAGAAAATAAAACCAAAGAATGTAGGCAAAGAAGAGCATGGTAACGATAAGATTGGAAAGATGAGTGAACATGAAACTGATGAGGTAGAGGATGAATCTGACGAGGAGAAAGACGAGGATGAAAATAAAACATCTCCACCTCAGATATCTCAAGATTTAGTGAAGAAGGATGAATCACAAGACCTTGATGGTGGAAATGATGATTCTCATAGTCAGGGTTCTACAAGAGATGTTCCTACTACTTCTAATGATAATGCAAACAATCAAACGTCTGCTGATAGAGAGTTACCTATTGGGAGTCAAGAGTCTTCTTCTACTAAACATGGTAGTAAGAATACTCCTCGAAACATTGGTAATGATAACATCAAAATAACTTATATCAAAGAGGAATTCATTCTCCCTGACGAAAATAAAAAAGAAAATAATAGTAATAATGACGAGAATTCTGTCAAATACTATAATCTCAATTACCAAAGGTTAGATGGGAAACTTGAGTGAGAAGAATAATAATTTCACCTCCTAACTAATGTATAAATGTCTATTTCGTGAAAATCGCATTTTTATTATTTCTTACAACCTACTATTTCTTAGTCACAAACAAGTTAATAAAGTTTCAGTTGTGTGAAGAAACTTCCAAGTAAATAATTTCCTGATTGTGTAAAACTTATAATTCTAAAATGTTTGAAATTCATAATTTACTGAAATAGTGGTTAACTCTCTTTCATTCTTCATAGTGCTGATCATAGGAAACATGATTCTTGTGGTAGATGACATAATTGAACATTAATTTAATCTAATCTATAACTATGAAAATTAAGTAGAAATTTAATAGTGGTAGCTGAAATTTATTGGCACCTAAAGGTATGCTTGGTATTCCATTTTCATTGGGCGTTAAAAGGTGACAACTCCCCTTAAGAAAAAAAAACTAAAAGGTTCTTTACATAAACATGTACAGCTAAACTCCTCACATCCAGCAGATTTTTTACTTCTTTGTTTTGCCTGTGAGAATATTACAATTAATTATGCCTTGAATAAAAGAACTTCTTTAGCGAGGCAACGGGTGTATTGAAAATAGCCGTCTTTGATGCATTATGAAGGGAAAATATTAGGAACAATAACGTTCATACAGATAACAATAACGTGTAACATTTTTGCAGATTCAAAGTTTGTCCACAAAGTTTTCCAACAGTCTCGATTAACAAAAAATGCATTTTTAAACTAAAATCTGTAATTGGTCATATTTGTTTCACACTGGATATTTCACTTCGATCTATAGGCCTACTCATTTATTGAAATTTAGGCAAACTGAAGAGTAAAAAAAGTTTATATATACAAATTCCATTGCGTTCGTGGAGTAAGTAACATTGCATCTCTGTAACGGCAAAAACGGATATTATCTTAGAAGCTACACAAACAGTTTTTAAATTGTGCGAAATTCTGTCGAAGATTTAGCTGTAACGAATAATGGGTTTGTAGGACTATGACAATACAGCCTAAATGTATTCAATCACACATCCAAAGTTAATTGTTGAAACCCGTTATCTGTTACCTCTTGTCAATAAGAGTCGAAATGTAAAATATTTGGCTATTGAATATATTTTTAACTCTTATGGAACAACCATCTAACTATACGAGGTGGATAATAATCTTTCCTTGGTGAATTCACATTGATTACAAAAGTAATTCTTTTACAAAAGCGAAACCGCAAAAATACACCTTTCACGTTGGAGTTATTGGTTTCAACTTCGCCAATAATTTTATCAGCGACTCGGTATGTTTCCAGATGAATTAATGTTCTGAATATTTGTTTGGTTTGTCCTAAATGACAGCACTTTTTTATTGAAAACTTATAAGCAGCGTTTCTGTTCTCAAGTTTCAAGTTGTGTTGAATTACTCCTATTCATGACTTACCTACATTGAATTAAATTGAATTAATGAATGAAATTTATAGTTTATAACAGTCCTCTTAGCTTGATCATAAGCTAATTTTGATCTGACTTGCCAAATGTGTATTATTATTGTAATAAGAAGGGTAACATTTAGGCTAAACTATCTATTGTGTATAGAGCACGCCAATTCATTAACTATATTTTAAGTAGATGAAGCAATAATCATCAAATTATTTTTCAACAAAAAAAATTATCATATATCATAAGAATCATGTATTAAATGCTAATATGTAAATGTAAAGATAAAAACTACTAATATTTACTTTCATGTTAGTTAAGAAATGCTTATGAAAACTAAACCTAAAGACTTTTATACTTTTATTCAAAACTAGCATAGAGATGACACGAAAGTTTGTATTTATATTACAAAAAATAAATTAATAAATAGTTAAAATAAAATAAAATTTATATTGCATTTATTTACTGTATGAGGTGGCTGTCCATGCCCTGTCACAAAAGAGACTTTTTGTACAAAATACAAACTGTCAGCTTATAAAGAAAAAAAAAGGTTTGCCTTGGTGTTTCATATGGTTATAAAATCCTTTGGTTTTTTTATTTTGTCAAGAAATTATATTTTGTAATTAAATTAGGTAGTATAAAAATTTTAAAGTAATAACTGTTTGTGTACAATTTTGTATATGGTTATTTTAATTTTTAAAATCAACATTGGCTTGGATTAACCAGATATGAAGGAATGTATAAATTATTTTATGCCTCGACGTGCGAGTTGATAATGAATGAATATTTGTATAAAAAATGAGTTATAAGGTCCAGTGAATGTATTAATAGGTCAGTGCATTTTGCAGCTTGTTTTTGATAGATTTATTTCTGTACATGTAAACTTATTTTTATCAAAAATGTCTTCTATTTACAAGAGACTCAGTATACTGATTTTATTAATAAATAATTACTATACCATTCAAAATTATGTATCTGTTTGGTCATCCTGTACTTTATTACTTTCATCAGAAGTGTTATACTGTGTAAATTAATCATTTTACCGTACATGTTACAATACAATTTAAAATATAACTTTTTTATGTTTTAAATCGTAGATATTTGAATTGTTATTTGTATAAAAAACTCTTTACTAACACCAGATGTTTACAGTCCGAAGCCGAACACGATTTTAGCAGGTAATAAAATAACAGCACGTTTACTGTCCATATGGGATATTTAGACAGATTGGATGTACATATAGACACATATGAGTAATGGTCACATGGGGTTATTGCATTGTAACAATTTGTATAAGTTCTGAAATGTGAAATAAAAGGTAAACCAATAAAGTACCTTACAAATCCTCATAAAAATACAAAAAGTATTTGGGTTTATGGTAAAAAGATTCACTGCATACTAAGGTCTAAGAAATATAATCAACCAATTGAAGCCAATACAAATATAATTTAACAGTTTAGCAGCTTACTCCACTAAGCTAGCATACCTATAAATAACTGTTACAATCTAGTAGTTCAGGCTCAAATGCCATTGGATTTGTTATCCTGTTCAGGTGGAATTTTCGATTGGGTATCTTGCAACAAAAGTTTTTTAGAAGGATGATTTCCATCCGTATTTGATTGATGTCTTGCTTTAGTTTAACGAGATCTTTTCTTAAATCTTCAATATCGTCAATGGGTTGGGTCATGATATAACACGATGAAGTAGTCAATATAAAATTTTGGCAAAATTGTTTTGTTTTATGTTTTAGTTCTAAGATCTAATTACCATAGAAATATTACATTTATAATGCATGTATACGTTTATATCTATATATTAATTTGAAACTGTTTTACTTTGTCATAGCTATTTTGAGAGAACGGCTGTGCGTAGAAACTTCGTAGAGGTGTCTAAAGAAAGGTCTTGGTCTGTAGATGAGCCATCAAAAGAGAAACGCGGTAAATTCCCTAGGGGCTCTGCCCCAGTGGCCTTTAAAGTCCCATCCTATGTTATTCTTATGGAGGAAAACGGGGTTTTTGTCACAGCTAATTTGAGAGAACGGCTGGGTGTAGAAACCTGGTAGGGGTGTCTAAAGAAAGGTATTGGTCTGTAGGTGAGCCCACAAAGAGAAACGAGGTAAATTTCCTTGGGACTCTGCCCCAGAAGAATTTAAAGTTGCCTCTTCAGATTTGTTTACATTACGACCATATGCATAATTCTACACTACTTTTTAATGAAACAGCTGTTGATATTTAAATTGTTATTTATTTAATTTGTCAAAATGAAGTACAGTATTTGCCATTGGTTTTTCTGATTTTAAAATGGATTTTCTTCTGCATCGTGTCATGTTTTGCAATATAATGTTCTATTACCAAATCAGTGGAAAATCCTATAATCACAGTAACTCTTAAAATTATTTCTTCTGGAGTTAACTTATATCTATTGTATGGGTTGGTTTCTGCCTTTTTTTACCACTTCTTGGAGATTGTACGTAGGTGATATTCGTTGGCATATTGCATCTGTAAACGAAACTTGGGTTGGTGTAATTATTAGAATGGAAAAGAGTGAGAAATCCTGGACAATTTGATATAGGCTAAAAATAAAACTGAATTAACACTGTTCTACATTTCTTGAACAATCATTGAAATAACCGATTTGCAAACAATGGAAACATAGAAAAAGTCATAGAACACAACCAAGTAGAAGAAATAGAAATAATATTTTTTTTCATTTATAATCGTTATCATAGACAACCCAATGCGGCTATGAGAGGGAAAAATTTGTAGAAAACACTAAAAAAACAAGATCAGCTTTTTGAAAAAAGATAAGATATTTACAAACGATTTTGATTATATCTAACTGTTGTGTAGATTGTGAGTATTTCCATTATCTTTGAGTCGCCTGTAATGCAATTGCTCGAATTCGAGCAACAGGTACACTAGTTTTAGTTAATTTGGAAATGAAATAGTCCTAAAAGTCCTACTACGAAGGTCTAAACTATTAAAAGAGAATTATAAGTATAGGAATATTCCACCAAATGAGTTTTAAATCTTTCGACGGTAGCTTTTTGATGAGTCGTAGATTAAACCAGATGGCCATACTAATTAGCTTAAATAAGTGGTCCGGACTAAATAAAAAGCTCCATCTAGTCAGTAAAATACTCAATGTGCTTACACTTTTAGATGCATCGTCATCACGTAATATAGTCACATTCAAACAGTTAAGTATGTATACAAAATTTAATTATTGAATAACTTTGACAATGTTGTCTTGCAATCAAAACTCTACCTTTTGAAATAGATTATAACTTGTCTTGAATTTGTCTAAACTCACTGGTGAGCTTTGCCACATTACACGCAGCATTTTCTGTGACATATTTTGTACAAATTAATCTGGAACCCAAAACAAGTGGAGTGAGTCACGCGCGTCCATGTAGACATGTTCTGTGATGAATGGTTTGGTTCAAATATCTCACGCGTTTGAACACGTACTATAACCAAAACATGAAATGTTCTAATACGTATTAATTGTTGTAGTTTTGTGTAGTTCAATTTATGATTTATAAACGCAAAATCCTAAACAATAGTTAG